ATCATTCCAGGAGTTTTCACTTTCATAGAAATAGATTTCTCCACAATCTTCATCTCGAAAAAGACTGTTAGGCTCGCCGATGTCCCAGAAGCTGAACACAAAAACAGAAAAAAAGACTAACCATTTTATACTGACACTGAAGTCATGGTATACTGAACAAACAACTACACACAAGGACAAGAATTTACACCTACACTTTATCTTAAAATGCAAGTTACCAATAATAATTTATTAAAGAGTCATGTAACAAACAAAGTGTGAAACCTGATCGTAAGTGTAGTCCCATCCACCCATTTCCATGTCTGTTCTTTTTCTGCGTCAGTCAGTCCAATCCATGTCCGTTTTTTAAACTCTCTTATGAAGTTCTTATTCACAGAAAAAGAAATAAACAATAACATTAAATACATCTGAGTTTTACACTTTTGTCTTTGTGTCCCAGAAACAGATTTTGCTCCTATATACTGGACCTGTTCCTCTCTGCTGTTGATAATCACCAGGTCTGCCCCTCTCCGCAGACAGTCCTCTCTGCTGTCATTCCAGGTGTTTTTAGTAGATGAAACGTAATATAAACTGTGGTTGAAGTATATCCATCCTTGTTGGATATAGCAAGCTACAAAGGACAGTAAAACCGAACCTTCAAAATTATGCTCAAGAAAATAACAAACAGCAATGTTAATAATGATAATACTGTTTAGCGTTACACTCACCTAATTCATTCATTTTAATGTCTTCTTCTTTAGTCAACTTTTTAATAATGGCCTCACAATCTGGTGTTGTTGTTGTATCAGAGCTGTCTGTAAGAGCAAACATTTCCTTAAGTAACTACACCACCAGAGTGCCACATGAATAAACCTGATTCAAGTTAAATTAATTGCAATTCTTCAAACTGTAACAGTAATTCTCTGTCATTTCTGTTCTTATATTATTCAGATGGTGAATTTATGGTCACATTACAAAGAAAATGTAAATTGACTCACAAAAAGCCAGTCGCAGTGAAATGTTGAGTGTAGCTTGAAGAATACACAGAAGTGCAATGCTCAAAACAACCAGTCTGCAGAGTTTTCTTTCTGTGTGCAGGAATCAAACAGATAAGAAAATGACATTTATTGTCATTATATAAGAATGTACAACGAAAATTATGCTGCACTGCCAGGATATGGACTCATGTATAATAATAATAATAATAATAATAATAATAATATAAACACCAACAGGAGAATAAACAAATGTATGGAGGGGTAAATAAAGAGGAAGTAGAAATGATAAACATGTTACATAATAAATATTGTATACATAAAAAAACAGTGTTGGGTTTAGTGGTTTTTGAGTTCAGTGTGGTTACAGTGGTAGAAATTAGCTGGTGTGCTAAACCATAAAGATTACACAGAGCACAGGTTAAAAACACCATCTCATAAATGTATATTTAAAGATGAAATATTGACTGCGTTCATTTCCTGGTTTGTCAGTAGTGGCTTCCAAAAAGCAAGTCTACGACACATGTTATTGAACAACACCAGTTGTGACACCAGTTATTCTGAAACACAGGGGGCAGGGTGGGGAAGTCAATAGGGACGCTGACAGCTGGGGCTCATAGGGAGGAGACCAGCGGCCGAAATATTGACTCTGTCTATTTCCTGGTTTGTCAGTAGGGGCCGCTGAAGACACCTGGACTGTATTTAACATTTGCCTGAACATACCTGTTGCCCAACAATGGGTACTTTATCAAAAATGAAAGTTTTAAGCC